TTATTGTTTGATTACTCTAATTCTCTAACATTGTACGTTACAAATGATTAATTATTATGTAGGAAAAGGACTCCGAAACTACGGTGACAAGTTATCAGGTTTTTTTGTATACACATACAAAGAATCACGATGGAGAGACTTTCGTAAATGATCAGGCTAAAGAAGTGAATGTAAGTATTTTTTTTAAATATTATTATTTTTTAAACAATTTGCTCTTATATTAATTCAATAAACTATTATAGGATGAATTTGTTTTACGTCGTGAGGAGCTAATTGATATTGGTGAGGAAGTAGATGATGATGAGCTGTTCTATGATGTTGTTGGTGGACCTGACTCAAAGAATAGATTGTATGGAACTGGCTCATATGGTACACAAAATATTCATCGTAAAGCTTCAGAGTACTCTTCTGAAATGGACACTTCATCACCACAATGCAGTAGTGCTGAAATTGATCATTTGAAAGTTGAGGTGGAACGTTTGCAAAAGAACGTGGCACAACAAAAGGAATTTCAACAACAAGCAGAACAAAAGCAACAAAAAACAGATGATGTCATCCGTGCTTTACAAGAGCGGATTGAAACTTTAGCTCGTAATAGGTAGAGTTCTTTTTAAGATGATGGTCGGTTTTAATTAGTCATTTGATTACTAGTATTCTTAAAGATGTAATCACTATTTGAGATATTATTATTGTTACCAGGAGGTTGGACAACCCATTCTTTATAATTTATAATTTTTATTATTATTTGAGACATTACTATTGATATTAATCGTTGTTATGATCTAGTTGTACTGTTGTATGGTTTAAAAATATTATTTTATACAGGTTGCAACAAAATGTAGGTTGTTATATTTTTTTACAAAATATGTGCAAGAGAAACTTGCAATGAGCATTTATTGTAGTTCGGTCATTAACATCGCAACAAAAATTCATTTCATTGCACTTTTGCAACGGAAATTGCAATGAAAAATAAACTTAATTACGGTTAAATTCATTGCAAATTTGCAATGAAATTTGCAATAATGTATACAATTGTGTTGCAACATTGCAATTGAAATTGCAACTACATTTCCGTTGCTTTTTTGCAACGGAAAAACTCATTGCAATGTTAGCTATGGAAAATGCAACGGAATATGATTGTTGCAAACAAAATGCAATGGAAATACATGTGTTGCATTTTCCGTTGCATATCATTGCAACGGATTGAACCAGCGTTGCAAATAATTGCAAGGACGTGAAATGCAACGGAATTTTGTCCATTGCATTTGTTGTTGCAAAGCACAAATTGCAACGGAAATTGAACATTTTGCAATGGAAATGTGCATTGCAATTCGGCATTTTTCTTGTAGTGCCAGTCCCAATGTCAAGCTCCAAGTCCAGCTCCAAGAGTCCAGCAATCCAGCCCAATACTTCAAGCACAAAGCTTGCTGCTTCCAGCCTCTACAACAGGCTTCAGCGTCCAGCAAGTTACAGCCCAGTCCAAATGCAGCTCAAATCAGGCCCAAGTTCAGCCCATGTGCTCCAGCGAACTACTACAGTCCGTAGCTCCCAGACAAACGACTTCAGATCCGAAATTTTGACGACCCAGCTACGCTCAACGACCTAGCTAAGCTCAGCCAAACGGCTTCGATCAATCTCCAGCTAAGCTCAACGAACCAGCTACGAATGGATTTTGACGAGCTCTTTGCGACGGCAACCTGCTACGACGAAGGACAGCAACTCCAGCGAACGAAAAAACGATTTTCGGTGGGTTAGATCTGTGCGTATCCTGAGCAGGCCTCCAGGGACAACGCGACTTCAATTAATGGCGATGAGGAGGACTTACCTCCGGCGACGGCTCTCAGCCAGTCGACGGTTCCACCGGCAAACGAGTCAAGAGCTTCGGAATCCACGAACAGTGAACAAGATGGCGAGGACGAGTCACGAGAAGACCTCCACTGTCTTCAATCAACGCACATCAATCTTGAACGACGGTGCACGGCGGCGGGCGGCGGCAGAGCGTTTCAGAAGGTGGATTCCGGCGAGACCGATGGCGACAACCCTAGTCTCTGATACCACTGTTGAGGATCGATTCCGTCACCACATTCCGGCTCAGGCAGTCCGGAGCTCGGTGTTCCGATTGTCTCTTGTGCACTCCTAAGCTAAGGGAGCAACTTCCCTAAACAGTCATGCCTACACTCACCCTCTAACCTCACAAAGAAGAAGAAGGAAACACTCACAAAGAGATGCACTCTCGGCCAAGAAGAAGAGTGGTTCAACAAATGTAACTCTAGCTTGTCTCAATTAGAAGCACGGGTCTGCCTATATAACAAGGTGTACTTTTGGCCCTATTAGCAAAGGAAATGAGACAGAAAAGGATACCCATACATTGCACAGACAAGAGATAATGCAACTCAATCAGAATTCAAATTGGGGAACTGAATAGGCATAGATCAGTCTGATGGAAAGAATAGAAGGTGTAGCGGGCTGCTAAAATAAGGTGTCAGCTATTATTAATATACAAAGACCATTTGGGCCAATAACATATTAACATAGGATCCTTTTGTTATTTTTTTATCTAGACCTTCTCCATTTTTTGCCACATCAGCACCAATGCACAACACCATTGGAGTTGCTCTAAGGAGTATATATTTGTTTTCGTATGAGGTGGGAGGTTAAACAATAAAGTGGGATACCAATGATCACTCCGCCCTTATCAAAAGACTCCTCAAGCGTTGTGCTCCTACCCCAATTTCTACATTCCCCTTTTCCACTCTTTTGCACATGTATGTATTGAGTAGACGCTCTTAGGTGCACACTTTCATCAATGCTTTAGTATAATCTATACCTATGTAGGTTTAATATAAGGTATACTTTAGTGTCAATTTATTGATGCCTGTGTAGGTATAATCTATACCTTTGCAGGTTTAATATACGGTATACTTTAGTATAATCTGTATCTATGTAGGTCTAATTATAAGGTTTAAAATAGGTAACATATACTTATGTAGGTTTAATATAAGCTATCTTTAGTGTTTATTAATTGATAAAATTAGTTGCACGGTTTCATCTCCATTTAATATTCTCTCAAATCTTAAAACCCTCTTCCTTTTCTGTTTTTAGGTTTCTTTTTGCTCTTAATAATGCATTACTTGATTGCATTCAAGTGTCTAGTTCAACCTTTCCTTCTTCTGATTATCTTTTACAAAATGTTTGATAAAATACAACAGTCTATTGATCATTATGTTAATTTTTTTTTAGAATAATAAAGAGCCCTTTATGTTGGTCCTTCCTATTCTCGTTTGAAAAAGCAGCTAACTTTCTTTTATTGTGTCATATGTCACACTCTTTCTAAGTGTATCTAGATTATATATACTTGATGCTTTATGACAATTCCTATTTTGTTAGACGAAAGAACTTCAAAATCATTTTGGAGTTTATTTTTCTACCTTTACATCCCTAACTGAACAAAAGTAAAAATGTGCTGAAAGTTTGCCTTTAATCCCTCATTGAGGTTATTGTTCTCCTTTTATTCCTTTTATCATTGCCTATTTTTTTACTCCGTATAAATTTAGATTTCAGAAACTAAATGTGTTTTTTAGTTTATGGACATATACTGCTATCAATGTATGCTGATTTACAACACCAACAATTGTTAAACAGTACTCATAACACATGATCTCAGTGATTTCATAGTGTAGCTAATCACGATTAAAATCTAAATCACAATTCGACATGGGTGAAAATGATGATATATATCTAATTAAATTCTTTCTCAAAAATTGTCAAAATAAAAGTACCAACCTACACGTATCCTGCCCAGTGGAGGAGCTGAGCGGGGGCATGAAGGGACAAGCGCCCCCGCTGCACGACAGTAAAATTAGTACTACTACTTATAACATATTTAATGTTTCCCTTCTTTTTTCAAAAATAAATACTCGGTAAAGACAATTATATATTAAGTATTAAAATAAAAGGTGAAATCTTTCAGGAAACGTATCTCTAGGAATACAAGTATGTATAGACTGCATCGTACGTCACTTACTTGAATGCAAGTGTGGATTGTTTTAAACCTTTAATACACACAGGTTGACTTTGATGAATCTTCAATTAAATTACAAAAAGATCTGGATGTACGGTTCCCACCCGTACACCCGGGTGTACCATATACGAACTGGTATATTTGACAAGATTTAAAGTAGATGTTGATGCCGTACTAAAAGTGATACACAAAAAATGGGAACACCTTAATAAATTGCAAAAATTAGGACAGCCATAATATATAATGAACGGTAGACTTAATAAGATTTATAATTTTCGTCTTTTTTTATTTGAGGTACTTTCGGATGGAATTTTTAAGGCAAAAGGGTCAGATAGGTACATGAACTAACTTAAAGTGTTCAATTAGCCCCTTATATAGAAAGTTCTGCCCGGCCGTCGCCAATTGAGGCGGTTCCCGGTGGAATTTTTTGATGAATTTTTTTGAGCATCTTCTTCATTAAGTCTAGTTTACCCATACCAAATTTCAACTAAAAATTTATCCGGGAAGGCAGTCAAATGAGTTTTTGAAGATAAATGCGCATGTAAACAACGTAGTACATTTCAGAAAATCATTTGACTGTCTTCCCGATTTTATTTTTAACTGAAATTTGATATGAGTAAACTAGACTTAATGAAGAAGATGCTCAAAAAATTTCATCAAAAAATTCAACCGGGAACCGCCCCAATTGGCGCCGGCCGGGCAGAACCTCCTATATAAGGGGCTAATTGAACACTTTAAGTTAGTTCATGTACCTATTTGACCCTTTGGCCAATTTTTAATGATATTTTGTGACAATTTTCTTCATGAAGTGTAGATTATTACGTATACTAAGTTTCAATTTAAAGCTTAATCGGAAAGTCAGTTATATCCTTGTACCGAACCTATCCAATATCTAGCCTTGCCCAATAGCACCTTGATCATTGCGGCTATTTTTTCATCTATTTTTTTATTTCATTGATAAAATATATTTTTCGATTCAATATAATTTTTCCATAATTCAGTATATTCAATCAAAACTTTAAAAATTTCGAACACAATCTCCAGACATTACCCTTGAGATATATGGAAATATACATCATGTAGTATAACCAATCTGACAACATGACAACATAATATATCGCTAATCATTGCTCCAATCTGCCGTCTGGCATAATATTTTTTGAATGATCAAACGAGGAAGAGAATGTTTCAATTAACCCTAGTTTAAAAGGGTGTTACATGAAACCATTCTACATTTCTACGTATGGGGATGATGGGGAGATATGCCTTGCAAAGTGCAATTCTTTGGCGTATCAGAGCCATCAATTACTGGAAGATAGCTTTTATTGATATACCAATCTCTGAGAACTTGAGGAAAAGTCTGCGAAACAATAAAAACAAACAAAAACAATTTTTAGTTTTGAAGAAATTTTAATTTTTACTCGTCAAAATGAATTCTGATACCTTATTCCAATCATAAGGTATGTCATGAGCAATGCAACTAGTAATCCACAGCCCTCGTTCCAAAGGACACGCTTTGGGCAATGCAAATAGCACATGTTTCCGCAAATCTATATTTTACAAAACAAAACTATTATACAAAAAGTGGTGTAATATATATGTTGAAAAAGGTAGTGCTTATTCTGTAATGTTTCTTAATAAGTCTGAATTTAATCTGCAAAATCTTTTACATATATATAGACACTCTAGTGAGAGGGGTGGGAATAGGCTAGACGGTCTGTCAGGGGCCTGTGACCTGGCCTGTTTAAGGCCTGTTTAGTAATTAAAGTAGGCTTGGGCTTTTCAAAAAGCCCGTTTACCTAAATAGGTCAGGCTTAGCCCAACTCTAAAGCCTATTTAGTTTAACAGGCCGACCTATTTATATGTGTATATATATGTTTGTATATATATTTAGTTATATTTATATTTATTTCTATTATTTATATTATATTAGTGTAATTAACTATAGCAAATTAAGCATAATAGTATTTTTATGAAGTGTGTATTATATAAATACACACTTAATTACACACTTAATATTAGAATACTATTTCAATTATATAATGTGTGCTAATAGGGTATTAGGGTAATTGAAATTCAAAGCTTTTCAAGATTTGAAGTAATATATTATAAATTTATAAGCTACATAATTAACGTATTATTATAAATTCAAAGCAAACCTAACGTATTATTAAACTTTTTAGTGAATATTTGGGGGGCAAATTTTATATCAGGCCAAAAGGATTTTTCACTTTTCATTTTTATTTTTTTTAATTTTTGATTTTTCTTAATAGGCCCATTGCACATGCTTTAGGTCAGGCCAGACTTTTCAATAGGCCAGACTCAGGCCGAACAAACAGGTAACAGGCCAGACTCAGACCTATTAATTCTAAAACAGGCCCAACCTGTTTAGACAAAAGTCTGGCCTGGTCCTGCCTGGCCTATTTCCACCCCTACTCTAGTCTCTAGGATAGATTAAAAAAAATGGTGCTTGGAGACATATATATTAGCGTTTACCTTGCATTGCTTCCAGCCGTTCATATGTGCAATTATGGTTCAAAAGGCAAATCTCATCCGCCGGTAACAAGTTATACCTTATCTGACAAAACACAAAAATCATAGACAATATTTAGTTTTTATTAACTTAATTAGTAGCACGTACGTACCCAAATTGCGATTATCATTATTAATAGGAGTATTAAAGGACTTACTTGGATTTGGTCGAATGCCGACATGACTATAAACACAGGTGTCTTTATAGTTGGCAAGAAGTATTGCGGAAAGAAGCACTTGCCAAATTAAATTGAATTTAATTAGTATGGATTATGTGCGAAGTATGTACTAGGCGTAACATGGTGCAATATTAAATGAGGTGAATACCATAGTAGTATTACATGCTATGCATTTATTTGGTCCAAATTAGTTTGTCATTATTTATATATTGGAATTGTACAATTAGAATACTCTAATTGATTCACGTAGACAATTCAAACTATAGTATTTTGAGGGCACCATAGTATTTGACATCATTTTATTATACAAAATTAAATGACATTTCCGTTTCCTACACACAATTAATTATTACGGAGTAGTAAATTTCCTTTTAACTCACCAAACTTGGGCGGCTCATTTTAGAAGTGCACAGGGGAGGTAATCCTTTGGACGATCCCTGTAAAGTGTAAACCCAAAGCCGACTCCAGTCAATAATTTCGAATAAATTTGTGTGCGAATTTATTTAATTAGCTAGATATACCAAAATATTAAGAAATTGAAGGTGAAAATACATGCAAACTAATCAATGCTTCAAACGTAGAGTCAAAGTGTCTGCTTCCGTTTAGATGGACCCTGTTGAAAGATAAGGAAATACATTTAAATAGTTCACAAATATTTCAATTTCTAGAAAAGTCACTCTTACAAATAAATAAAATAATAATACTCCGTGTATATATATATATATATGTGTCTGTGTGTATAGGGGAAAGATCAAGAACAAAGTGTGCTTATTGTGCAAATATTTGTACGATGCACCTTGACGTTATTTGCATTGCATATTGAGATTCAAAATGTTGCATATTATATAGTCATAAAATAGCAGTTGCACATTAACGTTCAACGAGTTGCACCCTACAAAAGTTAGATTTTATTACAAAAATGCCACATTGCCTTTATATTCTTTAGATCAACTCATCGGATAGCCAAGATAAGTTTGTACTTTGTAAATTAAGCATGATTTGTATTTGATCTCTATTCTATGTATATATATATGTGTATATATATGTGTGTATATATATATATATATGGGAGAAAGACTACAATAGGACTAAAACAAGTGTGGTGTATTCAAATAGGAGTCATGACTTTAAATAGGAGTATAGGACCAACTTTGGAGGAAGGGACAAAATTACCCTTACACTCGCACAAGAGCTGCCAACGTAGAAAATCCGTTGTTCTCTATAACTTTAGTAAGGCCATCGCATAACACCTGGAATAGTTTTTTTGGTCAGCGCCTATTCGAGAAGCGTGGTTTTCACTGCCGGTCAGCCGCACTCGTCTCCATAGTAGCCTGCCGCTGGTAATTGCGGGAGCGATTGCCGGACTCTGTTTTTCTTATTTTCTTTCGCCGGTCTCTTTATTTCCACTGGTCTTTCAATTATAGCCGGCTAAGAATCTTTTCCCATTGATTTTGCTAGTCGATTCCTTTTGAAACTTCTTGCTATTGATTTTGTTCCGTCAAACTTCTTGGAGTATAGTGTTTGCTCTTCTTTTTGGTTTAATTTAATTTCCTTTTCAAATTGAGTTCGTTTGATTTGTATTTTAATTAATTTTTAAGTTTCTCTTTCTATTTCTTATCGAGGTAAGAGTCAATTGAGTATATCAACTTGACTGAGGTGGAGTAAAGAATACAATATATTACATTTGATCTTTTTAAGTACACAAATTCGGGTTTTTGGTGTTAATTGAGTACACCTGTTAGATTAACACGTTAGTACAGTTGAGTTGGTTTACACCATGCTAATAGGTCGACTTTTTGACGGTCGACGCCACCCCCAACAAGTAAATCGACGTCAGTCCCTCAAAGGTCGACTTCTCTTTGGTCGATGCACCCCTGCTAGCCGATGCCCCTTGGCAGATCGACCTCCGAATGTCGATTTTCCCTTTTTGGTCAACTTCGTGAAGGTCGGTGTCACAACCTTGGTACATTAACCTCTTACTCAACATTTTGTAAACCAACTCAGATGTATTAACGTGTTAATCTAATAAGTGTACTTAATTGACACTAAATCCCCGAATTTATGTACTTAAAAAGATCAAATGCAATATAGTGTACTATTTACTCTACTTTATACAAGTTGGTGTACTCAATTGACACTTTTTCCATGTTTTGTTATTGTTTTTTACTTTTCAATTTCCTACTGTAGTTATGGGTGATACTTTTCCTTTGCTTATCAGTATTAGATTAATAGTTGATTGACACAATATAAGACATAATGTGTGATGTCATAAGTTTTTTTTTATAAAGGGTGATGTTAATATTATCAAAATTATATTAAAATGGTGTGACAGTCATAGACATCATTGTCAAGTACTTAGTAATATAATAATGTCATTGTATCAAAACAAATGTCAATGTTATAAAAAATGACATTGTGGAGATGGCAATGTCAATGACGATTGTAATTATGTCAATGCTGTTAGAGCAAGAATTTGACGGTTTATGTTGCATTGGAGAGGGTTGATCACGGAAGTTAATGATACGTTTATGAGGCTTAATGGTGGTTGTTGTAACGGATCTGTATTCATTAATGTAATTAATAATGATATTAAGGCAAAAGGTTACTTCTTTGAGCTGACCAGCATTAATGACAAGTTGTGAAGTCGTCGGGTCGGATCCGTCAAGTCAAACCGTCCATAACGGACAACTCGAGCTAATGGAGCATTCACAAGGCCTAATGACAGTTATTGTAACGTCGTTATGTATTATTAGCTTCTTTAATATGATTAATGAGGATATTGATTGTAATGGACCAACCTTTATGACAGATTTGAAATCGTCATAAAGTGCGATCAACCCGTCAGTAACATGTAAAGTCATCATTAGAGCTTTAATTACCTTTCCTATAAATAGGATATCCTCATTGTAATCAGGGGTGCTCACATTCGAGTAACGCACAAGTTTGCATTCTTATTCACTCACTTGTCATCTTCTTCATTGCTCTTATTCGAAGCCCATTCTTCATATAAATACTTTTTTTTAATTAGTTTTAGAGCCCGTTTGGTAGCACCAAAATCGGCTGTTTTGGCTGATTCTGCTGAAATTTATGATATTCTGGCTGGAGTGGCTGTTTTGGCTGATTCTGCTGATTTAAGAAAAAAATATTTTAAAAATATATTTTATTAATAAATTAAAGAAAAAAGTATATGTAAAAATAGCTAAAATGGTCCTCTACAGTAACTTCAGCCAATACAGCCAGAAAAGTAACTCCAACCTTACTTTTTCGGCTTATTACACAATTCAGCGCGCGAAAGTAAAAGTTACGTGTTTGGTGAAAAAGCTGGCTGATAAGCCTGATAAGCCGAAAACAGAGTTCTCCAAACGGGCTCTTAGCTTATCAATAAAATTGCTTAAATAATTTGGCTCCCACCGTGGGGCCTCGTGCAAGAGAAAGATCAATTATGGCAGGAGCTAACCCATTGGTGAGTGATTTTCACGAACAGCTAGAAGCGTTAAAGGAAGAGATCCGGCGAGAGATGGCAAATCAGATGGCCTATCTTCAACGGGAGAACGATGTGCTTCGGTCCCAGGTACAATCTGCAGTGTCAATAACCTCAAAATCAAGACTCAATCGGAGGAGTGACACATTGACTGCCGCAACAAGGCTAGATCTCGGTTTCTCCCCCGCAACGACGGATCCACCTGCGACATCGACGGATCCAGTCCCTCTTACGCTGGGTCTGTCACCAACACCAATCGGGGGAGCATACTCAACAGACATCTCCCAGGTTATTCCTTACACGCCTCTTACCCCAGCAACTACACCACTAGCCAACATTCCAGCTTGCTATTTCCCGGAATCCCTTCGGGTCAGAACAAATGGATCTGGCCTATATTCGGTGACACAAAGCATGCCTACGACGACTCTGTCCTATACCCCGACGGAGCCATCAATCCCCCACTACAGAAGTAGGACTGGTGGAGAGGCGGGCCCCTCAAGTTTCATGCAGGACGTTAGACGGAATGGACCTAGTGTGTCATTTTTAGAACCTCAGACACAATGTTTTGGCAGACTTGACACGCCGCCAGCACCGACATTTTCTGGACAACGTCCCGAGGTGATCTCCATCTAACTACCAACCCATCCTGATGTCACCCAGATGGCAGGACCGACGTCTTCATTTCCAGATCCAATTCACCCGGCTGTGGCAGATCAGATGTGTATGTTGATGGAGCAAATGCGTCAAATGCAGGACAAAATCAACGGGCTACTAGGAGTACCCCCACTTTTGGATAGAGCGTCGAGGACATGTTATGCAGAGTCTCCATTCAGCAGACATATCACCAATGTCGAAATACCCAGGAAGTTCGTTGCCCCTACCATGAAGATGTTTGACGGTACGTCCGACCCGGTGGAACACGTCGCCCAATTCAAGCAGCGTATGTTAGCCGTAGCACTCAATCCGGACCAAAGAGAAGCATGCATGTGTAGAGGGTTTGGAACAACGCTTTCAGGACCAGCCTTGACCTGGTTCGTCAACTTACCGAACGAAGGGATCAATTCGTTCGCAGAGTTGGTCGACTCGTTTACTCAACAATTTGCTAGCAGCCGCACCTTGGAGAAACAAACAAGCCACTTGTACAGGATTTTCCAATAGCGGGATGAATCTTTGAGAGACTACCTTCATCGTTTCAACAGGGAAAATGTATCAATCTCAAGGTGCGACATGCCTACGACAATCGAGGCATTCCGAAGGGGATTGAAGAACGATTCCGAGTTGTGCCGGGAGTTAACAAAGTTTCCTTGTCGGACATTTGAAGATGTCCAGGCTATAACCCTAGCCTTTATCAGGTTGGAAGAAGATTTGCGGGCACAACCACACATTGACAGTTATGAAGGGGGGCACCACAAGTCCAGTACGTCTAGCCGACATGATTACCGAACCGGCAAGCCTTACGCCAAAGCTGAAGAATGACCTGTTGCGGCAACGACACATTGGTTTGACGACCCCGATCTACCGCTAGTTATCCCTGATTATTGCTTCAATGTCGGTACGGCAGGGCTCATCAACTCATTGGAAAGGCTTGGAGAAAAAGTCTGATGGCCAAGGAAAACCGACAAACCAGCTGGAAAGCGAGACCCGAGTAAGCATTGTGATTTCCACGATGACATTGGACACAATACCGAAGATTGCGTCGCATTGCGGAAGGAGGTCGCGTAACATCTGAAAAATGGGTATTTGACGAAGATCATGTCAGAACGGACTAAAGCTCTTTTAGGACGGATTGACAAGTCGTCATCAATAGCAGCCCGACCCCCATCACCTTCAGCTCCATGTGAGGTAATTAATTTCATTAACGGCGGGTCAGATTTATGTGGACTAACATATTCCGCAGCCAAGAGACACGCTCGACATTATTCCCGAGACAAGTTAATGCAGGTATACCGAGTAGAGAAGCGACAAGACAACTGGAAGAACACTTCCATTACATTCGACAAGTCGGACATGCCTGATCCTATGCAAGCCCATCATGACACTTTGGTCATATCCTTGAGAGTTGCCAACTTCGAAGTGAAACGGGTCCTTGTTGACAACGGGAGTACGACGAACATAATCACCATGCAGACACT